CCCCTCTCTGTTTCTCGATAAGTCGGTTGAGACCTTTCATTGTGATGTTTGTGAATTTGCAAAACACCATCGAGTGTCATTTCCTTCTAGCACTGTTAAAAGCAGGGAACCTTTTTCTCTTATCCATTCTGATGTTTGGGGCCCTTCTAAAGTGCATAGTGTTTCAGGTGCTAGGTGGTTTGTTTCTTTTATTGACGATTGTACTCGGATAACATGGATATACTTGATGAAAGACAAGTCTGAAGTACCAGAGATATTTATTCGGTTTCATCACATGGTTGAGACTCAGTTTGGTAAGGGTATTAAAAGACTCAAATCTGATAATGGTACTGAGTACGTCAATCAACGCCTGTCACAATTCATTTCAGACAGAGGTATGATTCATGAGCTCACATGTGTTGATACCCCTCAACAAAACGGGGTTGCTGAAAGGAAAAATCGTCACCTTCTTGAAGTTGCTAGAGCACTACTTTTTCAGACATCTGTTCCCAGTTCTTATTGGGGAGAAGCAGTATTAGCTGCAACTTTTTTGATCAACCGTTTACCTTCACGGGTCCTTAACAATATCAGTCCTATTCATTCCATGACTTCCTTCTTTCCTTCTGTTCCCATATTGCAGAGCCTTCCACCAAGAGTGTTTGGATGTGTTGCCTTTGTCCATGTTCATAAACAACATCGGAGTAAGTTGGATCCTAGGGCTTTTAAGTGTGTCTTCCTTGGTTATAACCCTTATAAAAAAGGGTACAAGTGTTATCATCCACCAAGTCAGAAATTTTTTGTTTCTATGGATGTCACCTTTCAAGAATCTGAATCTTATTTCCTGGGTCCTCATCGTCAGGGGGAGAATAGTTCTTCAGAAGACTCGTCCCCTTCCTTCTTTGAGTCTGGATCAATCTTCTCTCTTCCTAGTGTGTCTGCTCCTGGTGTGTCAGAACCTTCAAATACACCTGAGATACAACCCATACTGTCTCACCAGCAACCTCAATCGTCTGAACCACTGGTAAGTCCTGAATCTCCTATTTCTTCTGAGTCTCCTGAATCTCCTGTTTCTGATTCTAATATTATTTCCTCTCATGATTTGTCTATTTCTTTTGATATCTCTAATGACTTACCCATTGCTTCTACTTCTGATGACTTACCTATTGCTCTTAGAAAAGGAAAAAGATTTTGTCACAAGAAAACTTGTTCCTCCTGTCCCTCTTGTACTCAATACCCTATCTCCCACTTTGTTTCCTCTGCTAATCTTTCTGTGCAGCACAAAAGCTTTGTTTCAGCACTAGATTCTATTGCAATCACAAAATCAGTACATGAAGCCTTGAAAGATAGGAATTGGGCTCAAGCCATGCAAGAGGAGATGAATGCTTTGGAGAAAAATATAACATGGGAGGTTATTGATAGACCCAACGGAAAGAAAGCAGTAGGGTGCAGATGGGTTTATGCCCTGAAATATAATTCTGATGGCACTCTTGAGAGATATAAGGCTCGATTAGTGGCCAAAGGTTACACTCAAACCTATGGCATTGATTATGAAGAAACCTTTGCTCCAGTTGCAAAGATGAATACAGTGAGAATCTTGTTATCCCTTGCTGCCCATTACAATTGGGATATAAATCAATTTGATGTGAAAAATGCTTTCCTTAATGGTGAGTTAGAAGAAGAAGTCTACATGAAAATTCCGCCTGGTTTTGATTCTGTGAAGGGGAAAATAAAGTTTGTAGATTAAAAAAGGCCTTGTATGGATTGAAGCAGTCACCTCGTGCTTGGTTTGGAAGATTTACTAAGGTTATGATGACCTTAGGATACAGACAGAGCCAAGTAGATCACACTCTTTTCTTCAAGCACTCCCAAAATGGGAATCTTACTGTGCTCCTTGTATATGTTGATGATATTATTATCACAGGTGATGATTTTGTGGAGAGACAGATTCTGCAAACATGGCTTGCCTCTGAGTTTGAAATCAAAGACCTTGGGAAACTGAGATATTTTCTAGGGATAGAAGTAGCTCATTTAAGCAAAGGAATTTTTATCAGCCAGAGGAAATATGTTCTTGATCTTCTCAAAGAAGCAGGAAAGCTCGGGTGTAAACCCTCTAATACTCCTATTGAGCAGAATCACAAGATGGGCTATGAAGAAGAGTCCTCCAGTTGATAAAGGACAATATCAACGACTAGTTGGGAAATTGATATATCTGGCCCATACTAGACCAGACCTAGCTTATGTTGTTAGTGTTGTCAGTCAGTTTATGCACGATCCAAAAGAAAAAAACATGCAGGCAGTAGAGAGAATTCTTCAATATCTTAAAGGTACTCCTGGTAAAGGATTGTTATTCCGACGTGATGGCAATCTATCTTTAGAAGTCTACACATATGCTGATTATGCTGGATCCGTGACTGACCGTCGTTCTACCACTGGTTATTGCATGTTTCTTTGCGGTAACTTGGTGACATGGAGAAGTAAGAAACAAGATGTGGTTGCCAGATCAAGTGCAGAAGCTGAATTTCGAGCTATGGCTCAAGGCATTTGTGAGTTACTGTGGCTGAAAATTGTTCTTGATGATCTCAAAATAAAATGTGAGGGACCTATGAAGCTACTATGTGATAATAAGTCCGCTATTTGTATAGCTCATAATCCAGTTCAACATGATTGGACTAAACATATTGAGGTTGACCGCCATTTCATCAAAGAGAAACTTGATAACGGGTTGATTACCACTCCATACATTTCCACTGGGCGTCAATTAGCTGATCTATTAACAAAGAGGCTTCCTTCAGACAGATTTCAAGAACTTACTAGCAAGCTGAGAATGATAAATATCTATTCCTCAGCTTGAGGGGGAGTGTTGTAAATAATATTGATTTAGTTATTATTTAGTTTTTATTTAGTCATTTATTGTTGTATTGGGCCAAGCCCTTTGTTGTATTGGGCCAAGCCCATTAGGTTAAAAATAGGTCAAATATTCTCTATAAATAGAGAACCCTTTGTACAGATTATTTACAATTCTATAATATATTAGAATACCCTTTTTCAAGTGTGAAATAAAAAAAAATCATTTGATTTGGATACCCGAGTCAAAAGTTATTGTCTTCCAAAATTTTACGGTAATGGAACTAACGAGATTGTGCCACGTGGCACAATTTCATGAGTTTCCCAGGAGAAGGAGGCGACACTCAAATAAAAGAAAAAAACGAATGTGTGAGTGACGCAGGGATTGTTCGTGGCACTCAGTGCCGCTGGGTCTCTCTTACGTCACTCAATGACCTCCATTGATAAATATTATGAATCGAATACCAAATTAATATATTAAAACCTCAAAAAAATTCCAATAGGTCAAAGAGCCTATTGGCAAGTCTAATTATTCGGCTTCAACCTGAATAAGTAAAAGTAAATTTTAAATTTAAATCCTAAATGTCTTGTAATTTCGTTTGTGTGCACATATTTTGGTTTGAAAAGACCCTGACCCAAAACCTCAATTACTTTACGTGCCAATTATTGCGATTCACCGATACTTCGAGCAAATAATGGTCGTGCAAAAAAAAGTTGTATATTGGAGTAAACCTTCCCATGTTTGAATAAATTCGTCCTCGTCTTTTTGTTTAGAAACGGTAAATTCTCGTTTCATTAACATAATAATCATTCTAACTATTAAATGCACGTGTTTTATATTATTTTTTAAATTATTAATTTTTATCTTAAGTCACAAGGAATATTTATTTTTGGTATAATCTGAAAGTATTCCTATTTAACCTCCTCCTATCACTTAGAATATTATTACACTAATGATGTAAAACGATTTATTTAGTATTTTTCGACATTTTTTAGAAGTAGTTGAATTCCTTTCTAATTACCCGTTTCAAGTGGGAATATTTCAATTCTAACCTTATATCGTTTCGGCTCATCAATTTATTAGGGAATGAATCTCTGATCAAATATTCCCATATTTTTCCACAACTCCCATTGTCACATCATGTGCCTTTTTTTTTCTTCTCCCCTAATGTTTGCTTTCCATTAAGGATATTGTATTGTTAAATGCATATGAATTCACACAGCGAGTCTAATCTATTGATTGTTTATTTCACAATCAATATTATTGGATTATCGGACAATGAATCTGTCTCGATTTCGTACTGATTTGGGGTCTTACATAGGTTCATTATAATGTCACTTATTAGGTCGTATATAGCATATATCCTAGGAAGATCGCACTCACCACTTGTCAAAGTCTCTATATTTCTTATAACAAGAAGCAAATCTTAAAATTAAAAAAGGGAATAATCAATTAATTCCCTAAATGCTGGACTACGTTTTATTTAGATTGCTGACGAAGATACGAAGTGGCTACATTCATAATTTACATACATGTAAATTTAATTTAAGGGAAAGAAAAAAAGTAACCAAAAAAAGAGAGAGTACCGTAATGATTATTGTGATTTATATGACCTGACCTACAAAACAAAACACAGCTAATCAATCATTCCATCACACAAGTTGCTTTGCCCTAATTAGCCCCACTCCACCATAACAAATAAATCTCCAGAGTATCATATGCACAGAATTCAGTATATATATTTATTTATCAAGAAAAAATTACTCTTATCTTATATGTGATAACTTTCTTTCTTATACACCCTTCAATAGATTACTGTGTCATCTTTTTCTTTTCTTTTTCATTTTATTTTTCAGGTGATGAAACCCACAAATTTATATTTATGACATTAAATAACTTATCTCCTTTAACATGAGATTAATAAAACTCTTATTTATTTTGTGATACGTGAAAAAATATATTATATCATCTGAAAAAAATAAATAATATAATATTTTTTATTTATACATTACAAAATAAATGAATAAATATACTTAATCTTCGGTGCACTGATATGATATAATTAAGATTTATTACCCTGACCAAAAATCCACAACACAAAAGGGCAATGCTCAATTTGCTCATGCTAAGAAAAACCCGCCGCAACCATATATAAAAAAAAATTGAGAGAGAAACAAAACACAAAGAGTGACTCTCATCATCATAAATCATAATAATCATCTCGAACTCAATCAAAAACCCTAACTCGCTCGCTCGATCGCCGCCATGGATTCCGAGTCAACTCAGCAGGTGCAGCAATCGCAAGTGGCGGCTATCTTGGGAGCAGATCCATCACCATTCGAGACGCTGATCTCGCACCTGATGTCATCGTCGAACGAGCAACGATCCCACGCGGAAGCACTCTTCAATCTCTGCAAACAGAGGGATCCAGATAGGTTATCGCTGAAGCTAGCACAGATGCTGAACTCGTGCCCGCACCAGGAGGCACGTGCCATGGCCGCAATCCTCCTCCGCAAGCAGTTAACCCGCGATGACTCTTACCTATGGCCACGACTCTCACCTCAAACCCAATCTTCACTCAAATCCCTTCTCCTTTCCTCAATCCAAACCGAACAGACCAAATCCATATCCAAAAAACTCTGTGACACAATCTCCGAACTCGCCTCCGGTATCCTCCCCGATAACGACTGGCCTGAATTGCTTCCTTTCATGTTCCGCTGCGTTTCTTCTGATTCCTCAAAGCTTCAGGAGTCGGCGTTTCTTATTTTTGCTCAATTGTCACAGTGCATAGGTGATTCCCTCACTCCTCACATCAAGCACCTCCACGATATCTTCTTGCAGTGCCTCACCTCTGCAACGGTCAATCCCGACGTTCGCATCGCCGCCCTCAATGCTGTTATAAATTTCATCCAGTGCCTATCTGGCTCCGCCGAGCGCGACCGGTTTCAGGACTTGTTGCCTGCCATGATTCGCACCTTGACGGAGGCGCTGAATAGTGGCCAGGAGGCCACCGCGCAGGAGGCTCTCGAGTTGCTGATCGAGCTCGCAGGGACGGAGCCTAGGTTTTTGAGGAGGCAGCTTGTGGACGTGGTTGCGGCTATGCTGCAGATTGCTGAGGCGGAGTCATTGGAGGAAGGGACTCGCCATTTGGCAATCGAGTTCGTGATTACTCTCGCTGAGGCGAGAGAGCGCGCTCCGGGGATGATGAGGAAGCTGCCGCAGTTTATTAGCAGGCTTTTTGCCATACTCATGAAGATGCTATTGGATGTTGAGGACGATCCTGCTTGGCACAGCGCTGAGACGGAAGATGAGGATGCTGGTGAAACCAGCAATTACAGCGTCGGACAAGAGTGCTTGGATAGGCTCTCTATATCTTTGGGTGGAAATACCATTGTTCCTGTTGCGTCTGAACAGTTGCCCGCTTATTTCGCTGCTCCCGAGTGGCAAAAACGTCATGCTGCATTGATTGCACTTGCCCAAATTGCTGAGGGTTGCTCAAAGGTAATAAAGATAGCAACTTTTCTTTTTGGTTGTTTTGTTTTATAAGAAAAGGACAACTAGAATATAACGTCGTTGCTATTGTTATTTCTGTTGGTTACCTTTTTTTTTTGTGTGTGTTAGTTAGAGTTCCTTGTAATTTTGATTGTTTCTTGCTGTGCATCTTTATGTGTCCATGTTGTAAAGATCCTTTTCTTCTTGTTTGTGAATTATGATTTTGATTTCCCCCCATCTTCCAATTACTGCAGGTCATGATTAAAACCTTGGAGCAAGTGGTGGCTATGGTATTGAACTCCTTTCCCGATCAACATCCCCGTGTAAGGTGGGCAGCAATTAATGCAATCGGGCAACTGTCTACTGATTTGGGTCCAGATTTGCAAAATCAATATCATCAGGGGGTATTGCCAGCACTAGCTGCTGCCATGGACGATTTTCAGAACCCTCGCGTACAGGTTAGCCACCCTTCGGATGAAGTAATTTTAATTAATCTTGAGTATGGGTTTTCCCCTCAATGACTAAGTGCAAGTTTGAAATTGAAAATATTGTGATTTTTCCAATTAGTATTTGGTTATAAAACTGACTATTTAAAAAACAATGCAAGCAGTAATTGCTATGTAGCTTTATACAAATATGAACTGGGTTACACCGAATGTTGCTTTGCAGTATTGAATTCTATTAACTGTAAATTATGATATTGGGCAACTAGTCTGTATATGTTGTAGCTGGTTGTGGAGGAAGTATTCAGTCCAGAGGGGAAAGATTGGCTGAGTAAACTTGGAATATTGCACTTTTAGTTTCCTGTTTCATCATATCATGATGATGGTAGCGTTCAACCTATGAATTGAGTTTTGTTTTTTTGGTTTCCTTTGTTTCTTATATTCTTTATAGTTGATCTGATTTATAAGTGTACCAATTCTGATTTCTAGTACAAATGTTCTCTTAATATTGTCTACACAGGCACATGCTGCTTCAGCAGTGCTCAACTTCAGTGAGAACTGCACACCAGACATTTTAACGCCATACTTGGATGGAATAGTTAGCAAACTGCTTGTACTTCTTCAGGTAGTTTATAGACCATTATTCGGAAGAATAGTATTATTATGGTCATTTTGCTGAATCATCACATGATTGCTTTTTCTCTTCACTTAATTTTGGATATTCTATATTCAGAATGGTAAGCAAATGGTGCAAGAGGGTGCCTTAACTGCTTTGGCATCAGTTGCTGATTCATCTCAGGTATTTTATATAAACCATTTTCTTTGACATTTATAATTTCTTTTCTTTAGATTACTCTTTTATAACTGCTTTGGCACCATGGTCTTCCTTAGGAACACTTCCAGAAATACTATGATGCTGTCATGCCATACCTGAAGGCTATATTGTTTAATGCAACTGACAAGTCTAACCGTATGCTTCGTGCTAAGTCTATGGAGTGCATAAGTTTGGTTGGAATGGCTGTTGGAAAGGAGAAGTTTAGGGCTGATGCTAAGCAGGTAGGTGATTATTGTTTCTTTGTTTTTATATTTTTGTTAAAGTGCTTGAAATTTATATGTTGCAACTTTGTGAGTCAAGAATTAATTGATTGTTTGACATATTGACTTTTTAAACCAATTTACCATCATTTGGGAAAGTAGTCAGTCCAAAATGGGAAAGTTAACTGCTGCATGAATTGAACCCTGCATCTTGTATTTTGTGTAAAGCACTTCTCTCTCGTCAGCTAGATATCTTATTTTTTTGATATCCTGCATATGCTGGTTCTTTACTAGGTCATGGGAGTTCTTATGTCCCTACAAGTATCTCAAATGGAGACAGATGATCCAACAACGAGTTACATGCTGCAGGTGTGCATTTTAAATTATTTATAGCATAAACATGCAATGCCAGTTGGACTATGTTCAGTCACAACAACTTTAATTTGTTACAGGCATGGGCTAGACTCTGCAAGTGTCTGGGACAGGATTTTCTTCCTTACATGGAGTTTGTCATGCCACCATTGCTTCAGTCTGCTTCACTTAAGCCTGATGTAACAATTACATCAGCAGATTCGGACAATGATATTGAGGATTCTGATGATGAAAGGTCTCAATTTTAGTCCTTCTCTTTGTACAATTTTAAATAATTTAATGAATTTGCGAATTGTTAATGTATAAAGTTTCCCTTTTACTTCACCTGTCTCTTGTATTTTTGGTCTTGTATGTTCACTAATAGTTTAGGCTTTAGGAGGTAGGACATACATCTTGTAGCTTTAATAATCTTTGAATTATGGTTCCATTTTTTTCATCTTCAGTATTTTTTCAAAACAAAACGTGCATGCACTTCACACGCCTGTCCACCCACACGCAAACACAAGATAAATCCAACTAAATTTTATTTATCCGTTATAGTATGGAGACTATCACTCTCGGGGACAAAAGAATTGGAATCAAGACTAGTGTTCTAGAAGAAAAAGCTACAGCATGTAACATGCTTTGTTGCTATGCTGATGAGTTGAAGGAAGGGTTTTTTCCATGGATTGATCAGGTTAGACTTAGACCCCTGTAAAATGCCTTTATGCATTAAGGTTTGTTTTTTTACCTATACAATTTGAATGCGATGCAGGTTGCAGCTATTTTAGTTCCACTCCTTAAATTTTACTTCCATGAGGAGGTCAGAAAAGCAGCTGTTTCAGGTATAAGAATGATTGTTCCTGTGCATCTTCTTTTGTTCAGTGATTTTCCTTTGTCACAGTTAATGTACTTTATGTCATTACCCTAACTGTTTTAATGTTTATCATTTCCAATATCCCTATAGCAATGCCGGAGCTATTGCGATCTGCAAAATTAGCTATAGAGAAAGGGCAATCTCAAGGTCGGGATGTAACCTATTTGAAATTTTTGTCTGACAGTATTATCCCAGCTCTGGTGGAAGCATTGCATAAGGTAATTGCTGTTCAAGTTTATCCATTCTTAGTTGTGTTACTATGGAATTTTTATGTTTCAGCTTTTTTTACAAGTGAGTAATTTCATCTTTTGATTTGAAATTGTCTTGAGTTTTAAGTTCTAAATATTGATATAAGCCGAAGCAGTCCTATATTTTATTAGTTTAGGAGACCCAGTCCGTGGATGGATTTGAGGATCAAGCTTAATCTAGGTGATATTTGGGTAGTCTTTGCCTGACTTGGCTGTGTGCCTGTGTCCCATATTGGTATTTCTTTGCTAATGTTCTCCTACTTCTATTTGCTTGCAGGAACCTGACACAGAGATTTGTGCAAGTATGTTGGATTCATTAAATGAATGCTTACAGGTTCGGCTCATGAAATAACTTGGTTATGTATTTTCTTTCTGTTTTTGCCTTTTTCTCCTATTGAATTCCATTCTGGATTTTACTGAATTAGGATTGTTGAATATACCTTGGCATCGTAGTTGATGTTATAACTTGTAATTTAAGTTTGATGCTTATCATTCTTAGTTGAAAATAAAATTCAATGAAGAGCCTCATTCGCGCTGCAATAGGTTAATATTATAACTGATACTGTCTGTTAATGGTAATAGTAGCGTTTGACAGAATTGCAGAGAGAAAAGACAGAAGAGAGGAGAGAGAGAGAGAGGAGAGAATGATTGGAAGAAAGTAATCCCTTAATTGCTTGACTTTTCCATACAGCCATTGTGATCTTTATAACTAGGATTTGAAACACCAAGAAAGCATAGCCAATAAATACTAATGCTAATTGATTCTAATAAGGACAAATTGATATCGATTCAATCCTTTTATTAATGAAAGGCTGAAAGCTAATAAATGCTAATTGATACCGTGCCAAGTCCTTAGTGTTGTGTGCAATGTTTCATTGTCAATTGGTATATAAAAAGAAAAGTTAAACAGTTTGGTTGCTTCCTATTTTATGATTGGTTTGTTAATTAAATTGTTATTTAGTTGAATTAGTTACAAATTTTGTCAATTGTACTGAACACTTGCCTGTCTCATTAATGCTTGATATGAGGTGCACTTCACTTTGTTCGTGGATTTTTGTAGTCTTGTTTTATTAAGAATGAGATATGTCGTGCAAGAATTTGACGTGTCTTCACTATCAAGGTGGCTGCTTATTGTTTACTTTGTTTTACGCGCTTTTTGTTATCACTTTATTTATATTCATATTAAACTACTACTTAGTATAAAGCTGGGTAATTCTCATGTGGCCTCCATCTCGTTTTGTCCACTACATTTATTGCTTTAATTTTTCTTGAATTTCAAGTGCATTGCATGCTTTTGTTGATTATTGTGCATGAGTGGTCGAGTAGTTGTTTTCTGAGATGCTTGGATATTTATTAACTTGTTTTTTTTTTTGCCTGTGTTTGTCTTCCTTCTTTCCTTCCATTGCCTTCAGAGCATTTGGTATATGTCCGTTTTGGATGTGTTCTGATCTTTTTGTTTACTCTTTTAGATCTCTGGGATGCTTTTGGATGAAAGCCAGGTCAGAGCCATTGTTGATGAGATAAAACAAGTGATCACAGCTAGTTCAAGTAGAAAAGGAGAGAGAGCAGACAGGGCCAAAGCTGAAGATTTTGATGCTGAAGAGGGGGAGCTGATTAAAGAGGAAAATGAACAAGAGGAAGAAGTTTTTGACCAAGTTAGTTGTTTAGTCTCATCTAAAATAATTTAAACCATCATAACTTTTGTTGGGGCTACTGTCTTTGTATTTTAAGTAAAGGCAGATCAGTTTCCTGGTCATCCTTTTTAATAATTTGTATTGTCTCAGGTGGGTGAGATATTGGGAACTTTAATAAAGACCTTTAAAGCCTCCTTCTTGCCATTCTTCGAAGAGCTGTCAACATATTTGACTCCTATGTGGGTATGTTCTCCCGGAAGCTACCAACTCTATTATTTAATTTGGTTTTCTACTAATTTTTAATTCCGTTTATTCATTAGGCTGGCCTTTTGCTCTTATCTTTTGTACCTTATTTTGGTTTAATTATGTCTATATTTTGCTGTTTTGTCTGTTTTAGCTGGTAAATTATAAACATGATTTTAAAATGTGGAATCTGCGTGATGTTGCTAATCTTTGAACTTGGGGCTTGTTGAAGTTGTGGAGATTGCGCTGTTCAAGCCACATCGTTGAACTTGAAAGTTTTAGTTCAATAATGAATCTTCAATCTTGCTTTGAAATTGTAAATTGATTAGTGGTTTTGTGCCAACATTAGATGGAGTTTTAGAGATAAATCTGCAAAGAACATGTTTGCATAGATCTGTTTAGCTTCGAATTCTGGTTTCGCACCTATCATCTCTGAGGTCACATTTATCCTCGTACTCCATTCCCATGCACTTATAATCTCTGAGCTCACGTTCGTCTACATTCTCCAGGCTACAGGCCTGCAAGAGTTGCTTTTCAATTAAATCATAATTTGGTTGTATTCTGTCCAACTGCCAAAAAGCTCTGAGATTGACTTTTGTCATGTTTCATTCTGCAATTTCAATGGTCTAATCTCGTGTCAAGCAAATTCCCTGCAGGCTTTGTGCCTGTGATCTAATTTTTCTTGAAGAACTAAAAGATTTATTTCGTTGTTTTGACTTTTAGTTTAATGTTTGGATATAGGGAAGCGACAAAACCCCTGAAGAGAGAAGGATTGCAATTTGCATTTTTGATGATGTTGTGGAACAGTGTCGTGAAGCTGCTATAAAGTAAGTAGTTTTTTTGGATTCCTGCTTTTGTGTGCAGTGATAATTATCTAGACATGTGTTGTAAGCTTCATTGTTTTACATGCCTATTGAGCAGGTATTATAATACATATCTCCCATTCTTGTTGGAGGCTTGTAATGACGAGACTCCTGATGTCAGACAGGTCAGTATTAGGCATGCTCAGTTGGTTAATTTTTTGAATACCTTTTTTTATTGTTTAAGCTGTTTGGTTGCTAATGCTGGCATTTCTTCATCTTTCTGTAGGCGGCTGTGTATGGCCTCGGTGTTTGTGCAGAATTTGGTGGATCTGTGTTCAAACCTCTGGTTGGAGGTACTGCTTAATACAGTTAAAAACTTGTGAAAAACTGTATTACATTGAGTAACAAATTGTTAATGGCTTATTGTAGAGGCGCTTTCGAGGTTAAATGCTGTGATCCAGCATCCTAATGCTCTTCAACCGGATAATGTAATGGCATATGACAATGCTGTGTCTGCTCTAGGGAAAATTTGCGAATTTCATCGTGACAGTATTGATTCTGCCCAGGTTTTTACATATTTTCCCTGTTTACGATCCATTTTATGGTTTTGCTTCTCAATCATGTTTGGCACTATTATGATCTATTCTTTGTGGAGGCTGATTTTTTTGGTTGAGATGACATCTGTTTAGTTAATATTTTTGCTAATCTGTTTACAGGTGGTTCCTGCATGGTTGAACTGTTTGCCAATAAAAGGTGATTTGATTGAGGCCAAAGTTGTTCATGATCAACTTTGTTCAATGGCTGAGAGGTTAGGGGTTCAACTTCTATTTTTTATTTTTCTGATGTGCTCCTGGATATCTTTTTCCATTGTTCTAATTGTACTCCTTGTTTATCTGCAGGTCTGACAGGGAGCTTTTGGGACCAAACAATCAATACCTTCCTAAAATAGTTGCAGTGTTTGCTGAGGTCAGTTTTCATCATGAATTTGCCACTTTATAATCTCTCTGCTTTTTACTGAAAGTATTATTTATTTTTTTGCGCGGTATAATGATATTGCTTCCGTAATAAAGAGAACAGAAAGGAAACATTAGTATAGCACTACCCAGTCTCTGCATGTCAACCTAGGCAATTCCCTAGAATAAAGCATGTGCTGAACATCATAGGCCATAGTGTGTGAAAGGTTCAAAAGTTTTAATTAAAAGTTTCAGAGACAAGAAATGTGAAAAAATTGTTCATAGCACATTGCCATTACAAGTAGGAATATTTGGGAAATGTCTATGAAGTTATCTAATTAACTCTACAATTTTTATAATTGATTACAACTGTACAAATTATTGGCATGGAGAAGAAAAACCAGAAAGCTTTTGTGAATGAATTGTTTGCTAGTAATTGTTACTCATAAAACTTGCCAGATTCTTTTAATATGGACTTTCATAATTTCAATTGATGTCATGCTATCATTTCTAGCCTATTTGAGGAGCTAGTGCTCTTCATTCTTCAAGATAGAGGCATAGGCAAACCAGCCCCTTTGTCCTTGCCAATTGTTGGTGATGAGCTTTGAATTTAACCAAATGCAAGCCATAGTATCAATGCAAACAAAATGTTTTCAGGAAAACTGCTGGTTGCATCAAATGCTTTCCAATAATTCCTCACTTCTTCTGCAACTTTATATTGATTCCTGATTGTCGTCTCTTTTTTTTCTACTGACAATGTTCATTCAAATGTAGTTATTTGACAATTTGACCTTTCATTTATGACTTTAAGTGAATACCGTAGTGAGTGTATATATAATGAGCAGTCTTGTGTTCCACCAAACAAGGGACGTGAACTATGCCGGTGTTTTTGGTAATACGTGTTGGGTTTTCTTGAAATAGTTTCTGTATTTAATGGAATCCATTTTTTATAAATAGGTTTTATGTGCTGGTAAAGAACTTGCAACTGAACAAACAGCTGGCCGAATGATTATTTTACTCAGACAGCTCCAGAAAACTTTACCACCCTCTACTCTTGCTTCTGCTTGGTCATCTTTGCAGCCGCAGCAACAGCTTGCATTGCAATCCATCCTCTCTTCATAGTTTACATACGTAGCTTTGCTGCATTGCAATCCATCATTTCTTCATAGCATCTGGGTTGGCAGTTGGTGTCTCGCTCTTTTTGGGAACAAGCTTCTTCCAGTTTGGTGGTGGTCTATATATTTGTTACCCATTCTTTTAGCCATAAGATGGTTTCCATCATTCATTCTTGCATGGTGTTTTATAGCAACATGGCTTCAGTTTTGAGAATGCAGTCAACTGTGATTGGAAAGGGGACTTTCTGTAGAATGTGTATAGTATTGAGTGTTCATAGTGCGATTGAGTCCGTAAGAAGAGGTTAGGCAATTGTGGTGTGGGGGCTTCTTGTTCAATTCCTCTTTTTGTTCTTACCATATTGCGTGAGAATATAGGGTTGTCTGTGTGGGGCAATTCTTGCAGTTTTGGCCTATTTTATTGGATTTTTTTCATATTCGCTGGTATGAAATGTATCATATGAAATACTAATGTTAGTTTTTTTGGTATCCAAATACTAATGTTATTTATTCATTAATGTTGCAGACAATTTTTATCCAATCAATAACTTGCGGACAGCAAGGGTTGGAAAAAACGTGTCTATTTTATTTCCTAAATTTATTACTGACGTGGTTTATATGCATGTGGATGGCTCTTCATCCGGCTGTTTGCAAAATTATCCTTGAACTGTCTATACTTGGGCATGCTTTGATCATTGGGGACGTGGGCATTTAATAAAAAAGTGAACTATCAATCACTTATTTGAAAGGAACATGGCTGTACGTATGAGTTTACGTTGGTCATTTACATTAGATAATTACCTAAACGCTTTTTCTAACATTTTTAGACGATTTTGCTTGGTGAAAAATGTGTTAGAATTTCATTATTAATGCATATTTATACATCACAGGTTACTAGGTGAGAGTAATATGCTAGATTTTGTACTGCAAAAGCATTAAGAAATTCCCGTATAGAATATTATTTCCAGAGCTACTAGTTACTCTTTAGTTAATTTTCAAAATTGAATGTTGGTTCATTATAATCTATATTAACGGATATGCAGAGTTCCCATTAATACAAAATCAAAACTTCCTGCAAAGTATGAAATAGACTGTAGCTTTTGAAATAAAACGATGTTCTGTTCCTTGGAGGTTCCACTTCAAATGCCCACGCCTAATTGACTAGTGGGTATTTTTTTTAACGAGATATTATTGTGCTTGAAGAACAGAAAACTGACGAGAATGCTATTTAAGGAATGCAAAAAAGTTGATTCAGACTGCATCGTGAGATACCAAAATTTAAAATCTCTTGTTGAATGTAACCTCATCATCCTTAAATGACAATTTCAACTCATGAACTGGAAGGACTTTCACATCGTACATTCGTACCAACCACTTTCTCTTGATTCATTTGCTTTCACTCGCACTATAATTGGTACTATTGTTAATGTTGATCCTTCCAATTTATCGGAAGGTTAAACATATGGTATTCCTCAAAAAGCAAAGGCTCAAATACGAATAAATCTTTGGTGTTACTGTTGCACCAAAGATTCAGTACATCCCACCAATGAAAACATTACATGTCAGTCAAAACTCTCTTTTTTCCGTGAAATTCTCTCTCTCTCCTCTGACATGTAATGCTCCCATTGGTGGGATGCACTGAATCTAGGTGCAATAGATGCACCAAAGATTTATTCCTCAAATACCCTTAACATACTGAAGCTTAGTCTCACCTGGGTGATGCCAAAAATTTTCGTTGGTTGCTCTCCGTACAAGGCATTCCATAAGACGTATAATGCCACTTCTACATGCCTTATACGTTAAGAAACATGGTCTGTCTATCACACTTATCTCCCGACATTTCCCCTTTTATGTCACATTCTAAAACTAAAAAAAAATGTAAGTGGTATGATTTCAAGGTGGAAATGACGTACAAGTATCTTTATTATTGTTTCTATAAAATAGCCCACATGCACCGGGTGCGTTGTACATAAATCCACAGGATGAAATCTGAAAGTATATTAAAATTTAGGCCCGAAAGACAAAATTCTATGTAAGTGGTCGTCACGATTCAGGCTTTGTTGACCATGCCAAGCCACGGCGATGAGAATTAAGGCATGATGTGAGGACATGGACAACCATTACTGCTACAAGCCAAATACTAACCCCACATTAGTTTAGATATTGGAGCTAAGACTTCAGACTTTAGATAAAGGTGACAAAATAACTGAAAACGAGCTCTCCACTACTCTAAACCAACTGAAGTTTAACCTTTGATATTTCTTTTATGCTCCACCCCACCCACAGTACCACACACACACACATACACACATACATACATACATACACATATATTTATGTTTGTGTTTTGGCTAACTTGATTGCATTTGTATCAATCAATGGATAAGGAGGAGGAGAGATTCAGAGAGAAACTGAAGATAAAGAGCAAGTCCAAGTTTGTTGGGGTGAGACAAAGAGCTTCTGGGAAATGGGCTGCAGAGATCAAAGACACATCAAAGAAGATTAGAATGTGGCTTGGAACCTATCAAACTGCTGAGGAAGCTGCTAAAGCTTATGATGAGGCTGCTTTCCTCCTTCGAGGTTCAAACACTCGCACCAACTTCTCTACTCATGCAATTGCTGCTAATTCTCCTATCTCTCTCAAACTCAGAAACCTCCTTGATCGTAAAGGCATCTCAAATCAAATTCAAATTCAAAACCAGTCCACTGTCCAAGGTTCTTCTACTGCACCTAGTTCAAATGGTAGTGCCATTAACAGCATCATGGTCACCAAAGACAACTCTGCATGTAGCAATGAAGTTGATTCTTTGTTTTGGGTTCAGAACCAAGTCTCTGATAATCCATATGGGATAGATATGAATATGATAAACTGCTCGATTGGTATTGCACCAAATACATCACAGTTTGATTATTCTTGGCCATTAGCCCATCAAAGGATTAGCGAGTTACCAATACCAAAAGATGGTTTGAATGAATGCTATGTGGAGGATACATATAAGTATGAATATGATGTCAATTATCCTCTCTCCAATTTTTTCTGCTTCACTTGATGTCTATCTTGCTATCCCTTCTTAATACACATGATGAGAGTTCTGAGAAATCATGCTTTGTAATTAATTGGAAATACTTGGTTGTACTCGGTATACTCTTTAGTTTGTATAACATTACCTTGTTTCTATGTCATTGTCCCACTCCTTATGGTTGAATAGTTAGATGAACACAGACATTAATATGTGACTCAGTACCTCACTTTTTGTGTTATATGTCACCTTATACATAATTATTCTGCACACACAGATTGGTCCATTTCCATGGCTCACTTGTGCAAGATCCATCATATTTTGTGATCAATCATGTATGATACAAGTATTGAAAAATAAAATAAAAAATAATAATAACGTTCAAATATGACTGTCCTTGAGGGATTTATTACCAGTTCAATAACTGATGCTGTTCTTAAGACATTGGGGATAAGAACAATGACTTGCTGATAAGCACTGGGCATCATCCTACGACTCAAAAATTCTTGGAAAATTTTATCACAGGAAGCTGTTTACGACAAAAAGAAAAAATGTTGAAGGTTCAAATAACCATTCAAAATGGTTATTGACTTAAAAAACAGATCCATGGCAGTGAATCCCCCTTGAATTTTGATACCGTGGGATGGAGTATTGGGTGTACCTGAACTTGACCAGTTATAACACCAATTCTCAACTTTTAGTCCCTGATCGAATGCTCATCCTATTGGCCCCTCATTCACACATATATTGAAAGGCTAACTCAAGTTTTGACCAAGGCTCTTCTGCTCTCAACAGTGTTTTAACAGTGTCTCACCAATGTTTCACCATTAAATCACTCGTACTACGTTTAGATGGCTTTTACCAATTCTGTTCAAATAGCCCATATCAGATATTACAGAAACCATGAATATCAAAGCTTTATTTTGTAACGCATTTCCATATTGAGGCCGAAGGTAAACGCAACCATGCTTTGCACTTTCCGACTCAGGCTTCGCTAAAAAAGTGACAATTTCGCTCTGAAGGTTTAATTTAAATATTATTGGTTCCCTCGATTCCATACATTTACTTTTTTTTAAGGTACATCCATACCCATACCTTTAATTTTTGAATCAACGCTAAAACGAATCTTGAACAACAATCACAAAAGATTTAAGCGCATAAAATTTACATTTTAGCCACACCTTGATCCCATAACGATGTGTTGTATAAAAAATATATGGGTTACACGTTTTGCATTGTTCATATTGAGATGATCAAAATGAAAATCTAGTAGTAGCAGCAAGCGTGAATAAAAGAAAATCAAACTTTGAGATGGGACAATTCTGAACACAAACTGATGCCGCAAACAACATCCTAAATGAACATGTAGAAACACAATGTCTAACATTTCACAGTTTGAATGATGGAACTATATCACACAGGAAAGTAAAGAACAATACGGGTGCGGGGCAATGTAACAAAGCATATACCCACTTTAGTTGAAACAATTATAAGGAAAACGCCTTGCATTATATTATAAAATCAATAATCTTCTCCTTCCTCTTCATCTTCTGCTCCCTCAGCACCAACTTCCTCATAATCTTTCTCAAGAGCAGCTAGATCTTCACGGGCTTCTGAGAACTCCCCTTCTTCCATGCCTTCACCGACATACCAGTGGACAAAGGCCCTCTTGGCATACATGAGATCAAATTTGTGGTCAATGCGAGAAAACACCTCAGCAACTGCAGTGTTGTTACTGATCATGCAAACAGCCCGTTGGACCTTAGCAAGGTCACCACCAGGTACAACTGTAGGAGGCTGATAATTGATACCACATTTGAACCCAGTTGGGCACCTATCATAACAAGGACAACATCATAGAAATTATCATCTCACATGCCAACATAAACCAGACATTCACATGGTGCAGTGTGCATTCACAATGAGAAATACTAATGCCAAAGTAATGAACTCAACTCAATGATCTAGATTTTATCACAAGCTATAAAATTAACCTGAAGCCACACATTCAAATTTTTGCCACATTGGGTTTTTACTTTTAATTCGAGAAAGAGTACACAAGATTTTTCTATATGCTCACTAGATGGGTGGCTAAGTGCGCTAAATTACAACATTAAGCAGCAATTTCACAAATGCTCACTAATTACAAAAAAAGGGAAACCATGTGCTATAGAGCTCCTGCTATGTGTAGGGTCTAGAGAAGGGTCAGAATCATTGTGTGAGTCTATAGTAGGCAGTCTTAACTAGCATTTGCAAAGTGGTACTATACAACTGCAGCTATGAACAGGGTCCAGGGGGAAAAGGTCAGACCCATTGTGCTAGTCTATAATAGACTGATTACATGATTCATACATGTGAACCAGTGGTGGGTGACAATACCAACCAATGTGCTAAGACATAAGTTCATTAAGTTACTAACAGTAAATATCATGATCAGAGAGCAATTGTTACAAACAAACAAGCATACAATACTGCGACATAAATTGAGAGAAAGGAATGGTTACCAGTCAACAAACTGAACAGTCCTTTTAGTTTTGATGGTGGCAACGGCAGCATTGACATCCTTAGGAACAACATCACCACGGTACATCAAGCAGCAAGCCATGTATTTGCCATGCCTAGGATCACACTTTGCCATCATGCTAGCAGGCTCAAACACAGCATTAGTAATCTCAGGCACTGAGAGTTGTTCATGGTATGCCTTGGCAGCAGAGATAACAGGTGCATAAGAGGAAAGCATGAAATGAATTCGAGGATAAGGCACAAGATTAGTCTGGAACTCAGTAATATCAACATTAATAGCACCATCAAACCTCAACGAGGTTGTCAAAGATGAAATGATCTGAGAAATCAACCTATTCAAATTGGTATAAGTGGGCCTCTCAATATCAAGCGACCTCCTACAAATATCATAGATCGCTTCATTGTCCAAGAGCACAGCCACATCGGTGTGCTCAAGGAGCGAATGAGTGGAGAGAACACTGTTATATGGCTCAACAACCGCCGTCGAAACCTGTGGCGAAGGGTAAATGGTGAAACCGAGCTTCGATTTCTTGCCGTAATCGACGGATAAGCGTTCCAACAAGAGTGAGCCGAGACCAGAGCCAGTGCCGCCACCGACGGCGCTGAAGACAAGAAACCCTTGCAAGCCTGTGCAGTTATCGGCTAACTTTCTGACACGATCTAAGCACAGATCTACGATCTCCTTGCCGACGGTGTAATGTCCTCTGGCGAAGTTGTTGGCGGCGTCTTCCTTGCCGGAGATGAGCTGTTCAGGGTGGAAGAGCTGACGGTAAGTGCCGGCCCTGACTTCATCGATGACGGTTGGCTCCAGATCCACGAACACCGCACGTGGCACGTGCTTTCCTGAGCCAGTTTCGCTGAAGAACGTGTTGAATGCATCGTGCGCCACTCCAACTGTGGTGTCACTGGAATCGGTAACAGATCCAAATGAAATCGGTAAACATTGAAATCAAATTATTGAGAAGAAAAAGAGAGTAATGATGAAAAGAAAGGAATACCTAGGCATCATGCCATCGGGCTGAATGCCATGTTCGAGGCAGTAAAGTTCCCAGCAGGAATTGCCAACTTGAATCCCAGCCTGACCTATGTGTATGCTTATTATCTCTCTCATCTTTCTTTCTTGCTTTCTCGATCCAATTCGATTTGAAACTGAAATTCGAAAGGGAAATGGGAATGGGAACCGTCTAGGGTGTATTGTAGGGTATAGAAAGAGAGGGAGAGTGTGTAGTGAGTGAGTGTTAAAAGAGAGTTTAGTTCATTAAAGGGTATTTGATAAAGTGTTTAGAATCCGCCTCTACCCACTTGCCGCCAGCCTAGCTTTCTCTATCATCCACCCTTCTGACCCCACCATATGCCACTCGCATCTCACGCATACCATCATGCCCTTTTTTATTTTAATATTATTATTTATACATTAATATTGAAATGAAAAAATATTTATCATTTTAAATTACATAATTTATGTCATTTCACTATTAAATTTAAAGAGATAAGATCCACACTTTTATTTCATTTTTTGTCCACGATCTATCTTTTTCTCTCACTCAAAATCATATAATTTTACCTCTTCTAAAATAACACACATTTTTTCTATATTCAAATTATTGTGTTCATATATTAAATTTTTAATAAATTTAAGATAAGTTTGAGAAGAGTTGATATAGGAAAAAAATCTGACATGATAATAAATTCTTTGATATATAGATAGATAATTTGATAGTTATAGTTTATTGAGAATTAGTAAGTATGACCTAATAAATTATAACAATTAGATTAATGGAAATTAATAGTTAAAATTTGGGGTCAAACTCTTTAATTTGACACCGATGTTAAGATTTGGGATATGATCATTTGACAACAAAAACTGAACCATTAACGGTTATAATTTTTTTGAGAATTAATAAGTGCGACCCAGTAAATTATAACTGTTAGATTAATGAAAATCAACTATTAAGATTTAGTGTCAAACTTCTTAGTTTGATATCGTGTCAAATGATAAGTTGATGTTAAGATTTGGGATATGATCATTTGACAACAAAATCTTAACCATTAACGATTATAATTTATTGAGAATTAATAAGTGCGATCCAAAAAATATAACCGTTAGATTAATAGAAACCAATGGTTAAGATTTAGTATCAAACTTTTTAGTTTGATACTGTGTCAAAGCATTTGTCCCATATATATATATATATGGGAAAAATATTTCTCAAACTGCTTGAGATAACTTTATCTCCTGCCACTCCAAAACTACGTCATTTTGTTTATTTATTTCCTTATATTAATTGATTCAGCTTTGAATGATTATGATTCCTTTTTTCTCTCTCTCCTTTTATCACCATTGATCCATTTTTGTACGGTTATGATTTAGTAGCCGGAGATAACATTGTCTCAAGCAGCTTGAGAAATGATAAGCCATATATATATATATATATATATATATATATATATATATATATAGGTAAAAATATTTCTCAAGCTGCTTGAGATAAGTTTATCTCCGACCACCCCAAAACTACGTCGTTTTGTTTATTTATTTTATGATATTAATTGATTCACCTTTGAATGGTTATGATTCCATTTTTCTCTCTCTTCCTTTATTACCATTGATACGATTATGATTTAGTAGCCGGAGATAACATTGTCTCAAGCAGCTTGAGAAACGATAAGCTCTATATGGAAAAAATATTTCTCAAACAACTTAAGATAAGTTTATCTCCAGCTACCCCAAAACTACGTCGTTTTATTTATTTATTTCCTTATATTAATTGATTCACCTTTGAATGGTTGTGATTCCCTTTTTTTCTCTCTTCCTTTATCGCATTGATCCATCTTTGTACGGTTATGATTTAGTAGCCGGAGATAAGATTATCTCAAACAGCTTGAGAAACGATAAGCCATATATATAGGGCATGATATTTTTACACTGTTGTAAGAGTTATAAGTCTTACACTCAATCTTGATCATTGATCCACCTGTATCTAATGCCTCATATTACTAAAAATTTTAAGCCCTTACATATAAGTAGGATCAACATACAAGATTCAGAGTGTAACTTAACTGATGTAAAATAATCATGACCCTATATATATATATATATATATATATATATATATATATATATATATATATTCGAGATAATTTTATCTCCGGCTACTAAATCATAACCATACAAAGATGGATAAATGGTGATTAAGGAAGAGAGAGAAAAAGAGAATCATAATCATTCAAAGGTGAATCAATTAATATAAGGAAATAAACAAACAAAACGACGTAGTTTTAGGATGATCGGAGATAAATTTATCTCAAGTTGTCGGAGAAATATTTTTCCCTATATATATATACATATATATATATATATATATATATATATATATATATATGGATAGGTTATTCCACCTACCATTTTTCTGCCTACCTTTGCCTACCTCGCGTCAACACCGTTAGATCATAATCTTAACTACATTTTGCATTTCTCTCTCCTATTAAGATTCTGATTTAATGTTATTGAAAGGTGGTAGGCAAAGATAAACAGATAAAATGATAGGTAAAATAACTTATCCCACATATATATATATATAAGGTTCGCTTTTTCTGTAGTTACTGCAGATAAGTTATTTGCTTTAAACCCAATACGACGTAGTTTTGTGACGGAAATCATGGTGTTTTTGTAATTTTAATTTATTTCAGGGTTATTATAGTCCTTATAATTAGTTTTCTAATCTTTCAATCCCAAAATGACGTCATTTTGAAAGTAAATGCAGATAACTTATCTGCATTAACTGCAGAAATATTTTCCTGATATATATATATATATATATATATATGGATAGTATCAATAACAAGTCTTACACCAAATCTTAACCGTTGATTTTCATACATCTAACCGTTGAAATTTATTGAGAATTAATAAGTAATTAATGAGTGAGGCCGAATAAATGTTAACAATTAGATTAATGTAAATCAATAGTTAAGATCTGGTGTAAGATACTAAGACTTATTATTCTTACACCGGTGTAAGATGATCCTACCTTATATATATATATATATATATATATATATATATATATATATATATAAGAATAGGATCATTTGACATCGGTGTCAACTTTATATGTCTGACATCAAATCCTAACTATTGATTTCCTCAATTAATGGTTATAATTTATTGAAAATTACTAATTATTTAATAATTTTAACCTAATAAATTATAAATGTCGGATTAACATATGGTAAATGATCATTCTCCATACATACATACATATATATATATATAATGATGTTTATTCTTTTAAAGAACAGATAAATTTTTAATGTTACCGGGTACCAAACTCGGTACATCCATTTTTCAAATCTTGAAATTTTGGCAATGTGATAGATTTTTTTTAAAAAGAGTGGGGTAAAATTTTTCCTTTTTAAATAAATGGGTGTACCAAACTCGGTATACCGATGGTATTAAAAACACGTTCTTAAATGATATAAAATTATGTTCTTTTGAGAGAAAGAAATAAATATAAAATAAAAAACATGGGAAGAAAGTAAGTGGTTTTCTAATTTAAATTTTAAATAAAAATTATTAATTTTAACTAAAATGATCATACTTTAAAATACAAATTATAGCCAAAAAAAATACAAATTATATATATATATATATATATATATATATATATATATATATATATATATATATATATATATATGGGAGAGGTTATAGTTACAACCTTTTTTTTTTTACAACCTCTTACAACCATATATCATAACCGTTGATTTCCGCCAATCAACGGTTATGATTTTCGCAAATTAAACTCATTAATTAATTATTAATTCATAATAAATGACAACCGTTGATTGGTAGAAATCAACAGTTATAATATATGGTTGTAAGAAGTTGTAAAAAAAAGTTGAAAGTATAACCTTCCTCTATATATATATATATATATATATATATATATATATATATATATATATTCAATAAATAGATATTTTTGGGAACAGTGTTATGCACGTTCCTATTGTTATAACAACTGCTCGTTAACGGGAATTTTTTTTTGAATTTGAATCTCCTAAATAATAAAATAGACAATAAAAGAATTTTATAATCCTAAAATTAGTGTTTAAAAATCCGGCACGGCAATCAACCCCACCGAGGTCAGGGATCACGAGATCATGGGTTTAATCGGTGGGTCACAGGGTCATTACGCTGACCTGATTTTATATATTAAAAAAAGTAGAAATATATATATATTTTATATGAAAATATTAAAAAATAAATCAACGATCGTCAAATATTCAAAATATACTTAATATAATTCACTAATTATAACCAGAAGTCAATATTAGACAACCTAATTAAAGTATTAAGATAGCAAAGTACAAAACTCATATTCTAATGATACTAAAGTATCAAGATACCACAAGTCTAAGTCGTTGGGAGAGAAAAAAATTATTAGATATAGGTTTGCAAGTATTTTTATTTTATTTTTTAATAAAACGACTTTGTTTCATTGAATTTTCTTTAAATAAAAATATGCAGTGACTCCTTTGACCCCTCTGACTCGGAAATCACTGAAACCTGCCAAGTTTTAGGGATCAGAGGGATCAATATGCATATAGTATCCGGTCCCAACCCTCAGAAATGGGGTGTCGAGGTTGACCCGGATCGACCCGGAAGACGCAGCGGGGTTTTAAAACACAGCATAAAATTGGAATTAATTAAAATAGGGGGAATTATAGATAGAGCAAGAAAATAAGATTTGATGTTACGAATTTGTCCTTGTATGATTAAGGGTAATGGATTGCAATTGGTGGGGCTGGGCGGCCATGTGCGGTACCCACTACCCCCATCACTGCTACTTACAATTATGATTTGACAAACAAACAAACTAAAAAAAAAACAACACAGCAGTACCTGTTTTGTTTCCAGTTTTGTACATCACCCATTCAACCTTCCAAAATATCTTCAGGGGCTGTTTGACAGCCGACTTATTTTGAGATGCCCGGGCAAGCTAGCTTTGACATAAATTAAACCCGCGTTTGGTAAGCAAAAAAGCGAAGGTTTCCAGAGTACAAAGAAATGCCGTGAATTTGTATTGTGTGTTATGTACAGTGCCAAATCCAATTGTTAAAGTCCATAGAAAACGTGGAAGTGTTTCAGTCCCGGGCAAATAGCATTTGAGGCGCGAAACTATTGACTA